GCTGAGGGCTGGAAAGACCCACGCTGCATGGCGAGGCAACACTGGGTCCTGCAAGCAGGTTTTCAATATGCACAGCTGATCTGCTTCCCCCAGCACTCTTCCCACCCTGCCCTGCATTGCCTGCTCGCACTGCTAGCAGCTGCCATGGGATGCTGAGCTGCAGCTCCAGTCACCCCCGTGAACGGGACGACAGCTCAGTGGAGCACCAAGAATATGGCCAATTGACATTACACTGGGACTAGGGGGTATTTGAGGACAGTGGGAGCCTGGAGATTCCCCAACTTCTCCCTGTAGCACAACATCTCTTCCCACGGTGCCTCAGAGCTGCCGTCCTTCTAGGTGAGACCCAGCGAGGGGCTGGTCAGGGCAGTCCTGCAGACGGCTGGAGGAGGTGCCATTGCCCTGTTTGGGTCACACCCTTTCTCAGATATCTGACACTGGGAGACCATCAAGAGACGGCGAATGCTATACAGGACTCTCAGAGGCCATGTGCCCTCCAGGTTCAAAGCTGCAAGGCCTGCCCTGGGCTACCTGTTTTACAGGCATTCAGCCAGAAAGACAGACTCAGCCGAAGGCTCGTTTCCTCCGCCCCGTTCTGGCTTTGCCCTGCTCAGTTCCCACCGTGCCCTCTTTCATCCGAGCGACAATATCCAATTCGGTCGGACAACCAGTTCAGCTGCCAGGCAGGCCTACGGCAGTCGGAGCTGGCCAGCGGGCCTGCTCCCATCCCAGCGAGTGCATTGGCTGCAGGTGTCGCTGGGGACCTGGGAAAGGGTTTGGACAATGAGCAATGGCAGGAGCTTTGCCAAAGACAGCATTGCGAAGGCCAGGTCAGGGCTGCAGGCTGCTGGAGCTCCACAGTCACCAAGCTCCCCGGGCCCTGGGCAGAAGATTGAGGGGAGAAGGCAGAGCGCGAGAGCAGGGGCTGGTGTTCACTGATAACTCAACGAGGGGGCATGTGCAGCTGGCAGGACAGAGAGCCTCTGCCAGGCAGGGCAGCCCAACCCCCAACATGCTGTTTGCTGAGGTGCCCTGACCTGCGCTGTTCAGACCTTCCCTCCCTACTCCCTGCAGCTGTGAGGGCAGACCCCCCCCCCATGGGATTTAAACAATGAGTCTCTGGCTCCCAGCACTGGGCTGGGCTCACTTCCCACATGACCTGAAGGATGGAGGGAGCCAGTGAGTTAGTAGCTTTCACTCTGGCAGGACAGGTTCCCAGGCACTGACCTGCAGCCAGTCCCCCACCCACTCCGCCTTGCCTCTGCCAGGCAGGGCAGCCCAACCCCCAACATGCTGTTTGCTGAGGTGCCCTGACCTGCGCTGTTCAGACCTTCCCTCCCTACTCCCTGCAGCTGTGAGGGCAGACCCCCCCCCCATGGGATTTAAACAATGAGTCTCTGGCTCCCAGCACTGGGCTGGGCTCACTTCCCACATGACCTGAAGGATGGAGGGAGCCAGTGAGTTAGTAGCTTTCACTCTGGGAGGGCAGGTTCCCATGCACTGACCTGCAGCCAGTCCCCCACCCACTCAGCCTTAACTCCAGTGCTCGTGGGAGTCCATGGTATGAGGAGTCCCGCTAAGTGTTCCCTGGGCACAGGAGACAGAGATAGGGTAGGGGCTCCGGTCATGCCTCCAGCCCAGTCCTCGCCACCTCTCCTTGGACCAAGCCATCTCTTCCCTCCGATCACGGCTATCGCTCCCCTCCTGTTCCATAAGAGCCAGCCGATGCCAGCCTGCAGCTCTCCCTCACAGCTCCTCCACGGCACCTGCCCAGGGCTTTGGCCCCTTTTCTTTGCCATCACTGTTTTGGAGATGCTGAGGATGCTATTTCTGCCAGCCCTGCTCTCAGATCCCTGCTACCAGCACAGCCTCTCCTGTCCTATTATCTCCAGCTGCTGGCACACGTTAGCCAGCTGAGCCCCACCACGCCCCTTGCGGGGGGAGAGGGTGCAGGCACAGAGAAGCTACGTGACTTGTTCAGATTCACACAGCAAGTAGGGGCAGAGCCTCAGACAGAACCCAGGAGCTCCGACTACCTGGCCCTGTTCTACCACTGCACTGCCTTGCCTCACGCCAGATGTGGTGTGATAAGCTGCTCTGGCTGCTGATGCTCCTGCAGCTTCAGCTGGCCTGTTCTAATGACTTCCCACAGCCCCTTGGTCAGGGACACTGTAGCACCCGTCCTCTGCCCACGGCACAACTCAGCCGGGAGCCCGTCAGCCCCTTCCGAGGGTCTCGCTGAGCCACGGGACAGAGCAACCTGCATGCACCGCCCACCCCAGCCAGAACGGAGGCGCGGGCGGCTCGGGGGCCAGTGCAGACAGAGGTAGCTGCTCGGAAGCCACTGCTTCAGCAGAACAGCGAGGTGCTGACATTTCCAATGCAAACACAGTCAGAGCAAAGCTGCCTCCCTCCGCCCTAGACAAACAGCCACAGGCCTGCATTATTCAGGGGACTTGCTCGGAGGGGCTGGCTCAGGACAGGCAGCAGAATCATCCCTACCACTTTTGCTAATGAAGCCTCCTGGCTGGCTTCCGCTGGCACAGAGCCCGGCACCTGGAACAAGGAGGAAGGGGCTGGGAGAGCCTCACCCGGACCACACCACGGCAATTGCCTGCTCCCACTGCTGTCCCCCTCATCCTCCTTCCCCCTGCAACTCCCAGAGCCCTGTCTGCAGGCAGGGCAGTTCCCCAGAGGCGCTGACGGGTAACCCCTGCTCTGTTGGGACAACTCAGCCCTCCTGGGATCTGGCCCTCAGGTTGTAAGCTCCTTGGGGCCGGGACATGGCCTCGTTTGTCAGCCAGGTCCCACTGCCCTATAAATGCTACCAAGTGTGACAGATACCGTACCAACCTCCATGAGTGGAAACCCCAGTGCACTCTGGATCCTACAGGATCTACCGGCAGAGCCGCACACAGACACCGCTGGCACAGGCGCCAGGGATGGAATGGCCTAGGGACACTGAGCCTCTCGCCCGCTATCGTCAGCGCAGATGAGAGCACCAAGGTGTGGGGGGGAAGGGCGAGCTTGCCCGACTCCTGCCCATTCTGAGCCAGTTGTATGGATGGACAGGAGCCTCTAGCCCCCAGGGCTGCCAATCAGCCAACCCTCACCAGCACCACGTGACAAAGGAAATTTACCCAAGTCTATGGACCTGCAGCGATCCCAAGATCTGCTTCCTAGAAAGCAGCTGGACACAGAGAATCTCTGTACCCTCACTTCTCACTGGCCCCTGCCCTGCTGCAAGCCCAGTCGCTCTCTAGTAGACCCGTGAGGTGCAGGCAGGGCAGTAACCACAGACAGCAGAATGCACAGCTGTTCTTACAGCAGCTGGAGGGGACTCACTAGAAGGTGCTTAGCTGGACAGCTGAGAGCCAGCAATTTGGTTTCCTAGTCCCAGCTGCTGTGAGGCTGATTAGGAGGGAGGGAACGTGTGCACGCTGGCAGAGAGGGTTCTGGGGGAGCAAAAAGGGGCTGCTATTAGGCCGGAAAGAAAAGCCTTTAATGAAGCCTGATGTGTGCTGATCCTGCAGCCTGCATGAACGCCATCCAACCCCACAATGGAGTTACCCACTTAAAGCGACACCAGAGGAGCGGCGCTGGGAAAAGAACACATTTTCCTGTGTAGCAAACTGTGAAGTACGATCAGGAATACACAGCAAAACCCTCAGAAACCAATTACTGCTCGCGAGAACCACACTGCTAAAAATATCCCACCTTTCTGCTCCAGCAAAGGGGAGGAAGTGCTGCGCCAGCACAAAGATCCCACAAAGCACAGCACAAGGGACAGCCTCTCCCCCCAGGAAACGCTGCCTCCAAAGGGCCAGAGTACACTGACTTAGCGCCTTGGTCCCTCCCTGCCTGAGACCCGGGTTCTGGTCCAAGACTGGCTCACAAGAGTGATGGATGGAGCAGGTTTCCTCTCAGAGCGTTGACTGGGTGACACTGGTTTGCACCATGAAGTCCCTTTGAGAAGTCACCTATCCCAGTGACAAGGGGAATCCGCAGCATCTGGTCATCCAGGCCCATCAAGTGATGAAGCGAGGACACAAGCAAGGATGCTGTGAGATTGCCCTGGGGGTCTTCCGGGCGAATGGATTGTGGGGTTGGCTGGGTTCTGGGGGATTCAGATCAAGTCTGGAGTGAAACTTCAGGTCAGTTATTTTAGCTGAGCCCATCCCCCACTCCCTAATTAACAATCTGGCATAAAGTCAACTTGTTCAGCCCATCTGTGCCTCTGGCCTTTGATGCAGCACCTCTCCTCTCCTGCAGTCCTTCCGTTCCTCTTCCTTGGCCCTTCCATTGACAGCACCGTTAGCAGGACTGACTCGGTGCAGCTGGCGGGGATTACGTCACCCCCTCTTTACTTCCTGCTCCCTTGTCAAGTCGACACACAAAGCGTCTAGCCCTCTTGCTAAAACACAACAGATCACACCCTGCTGGACAGGGCACAGACCTACCCCATGGGGAGACCTCAGGACAAATTTTCAGAGATCCTAAAACTGGCCTCTGACATTGCACCTGCAAATTCTGTGCCCACAAAAAGCCACAGCAGCATGCACTGCATGTAAAATCCTGGCCCGCTGGCCTCAGTGACTCCACGATTCCAGCTTGTGGGATTTACCTTCACATAGAGCTGCTCACTGGAGGTCCCGAGCCCGGTAAGCTGAGTGCCCGTGCAAACACCGGACTACCAGCTGGACACATCAAAGCACAAAGACGGGCTCCTGCACACCAAATATATGTCAGGGGTGAAGTCAGCTGTTAGGGGCTGGTTTTAGAAACACGACCCTTTGCCCCAGCTAAGCAGACCTGTGGTAACACTCAGAATGGCAAAGCAAACTGGGGACCTGTAAAGACACTGTCTTACTGCGTGCTGCTGGCATAACAAGGTTACTCTTCTTGTGGTTCATCAGCTAGGCCATGGTCAGAGGATGGTTTCAGGGAAGGGTCTGGCGGGAGGGAAATTAAAGCGGCCTTCCCTTGTCTTTTGTCACCAGGTACAGCGCCATGACAAAGCTGAAATGAGCTGAAATGTCTCTTCACCGGACTGAGCTCTGCCTCCTCCCACCACTCGTCTGAATCAAGTAAGTTCTCCAAAGAGCTGCCACCCCACAGTGAGAATCTGGGATGGGAGTTGCATCTGAGAAGTACAAACACGTGTGCAACTGTGTGTGCACAACCTTAGAGGGAGAGGACAGAGGGAATGAAGTGGGGGGGAGGGGGGAGACAGGGCATGGAAAGAAACAGCCAGGCCAAGCTACACGAAGAAACAGCCAGACTGTGGGAACGTATGTCTGTGCACATTCGCCATGGTGCTGAATGACACGCCGGTGATGCTGCCTGCTTCCGTCAGTCGAAGGCAAATTCTTCCTGAGCTCACGTGCCATGCAAGCTGAGGTGCAACAGGGCATAGTGACAGTCAGTGGATCCTTTCAACATTTAATTGTGGTGTTAGTCATCAGGGAACGGACCAGCGCCACTCACAGATCCACACTTGAGACTCCTGTGGCCATCTGCTGCCACTGAAAATCAGCCCCCCCCC